CTACTTCCAACCCCCAACTGCTGAACCAAAATTACTACAATATGGTTTCTCGAAAGAATGCTTAAAGAAAGTTTATATCTTCCCCTTTGTTACCACGCTCGAAACAAAGCTTCAAATTTTTCAATATAAAATTATCCACAACATACTTCCAACTAGGTGTTCCCTTTTCCGTGTGGAGCTATGCGATTATGTACCCTTTGACGGCTTTCCTTCTTTAGTTAAGAACAAATTAAATATTTCACAACAAATAACAGTTAAAAATAAAACCTCTGACGATTTCAAAAAAAAGTGGAAAGACTTTATTTGAGTTTTTTTCATTTTACTTACTTAGTTAAATTATTGATTAATTTAATTAATTCTTAATTTAGTAATTGCTTTTTTTCTTTTTTGCAACGTACCTACTCAAAATGTTGCACTTTGTAATAGTTTGCAATTCTTTTTTTGTTTGTATTTTTGTAACACACATCATTACCTTCTGTATTATCTTTTGTATCTCCTCTTATTGTCCTATTGTAGTTCATGTTGTATTAATAATAATAATAGTAATAGTAATAGCAATAGCAATAGCAATAGTAATAGAAATAGTCATAGTCATAGTCATAGTCATAGTCATAGTCATAGTCATAGTCATAGTCATAGTCATAATAATAATAATAATAATAATAATAATAATAATAATAATAATAAAATTGCAGTTTAGCTCGTCTCATGTGAAGCTCGACGTCTGACCTGGGCTTAAGATATTCTTGTCCTCACAGTTAGGGAATCAGCTGAAAATGTTACAAATTCCACTTTGAAACATGAATCATTTGGAAAATCAGTTGCGAAAGACTTGATCACAAGTTTTAGAATTCGTTGATTTGATCTTCATATCCTCGCAAAAGAATGCAGAAAGCCATTCGGGCTCTCGTTTCCTTTTAATATCCTACTATAGATTGAGAAGTACCTTCTACAACTACTAACTGTCAAACTGTTATTGCTTTCATTGTATTTATATACCATATCGTTCCCAAATATTTAAGAAAATGGCTGAGGCCTTTTTGAGTTAAAGACATCACTATGAAGTATAAAATTTCATTCTAGTTTGTTAACCAGAAACTGAAAAAATTGCTGAAGGATTCCTCAAAATTGTCAACAATTATACAGAAAAAGAAACTTATCAAACCCAGAAAAATTCCCGCCTGTCAATTCAAAATTCGCGGGCAATATGACTTCCAAATATGGTTTCCAATTGTCTCGTTTGGCCAATGACATTCGTGGATTTCCATTCCGGCTTCTTACATATGCGCTGTTGGTTTGTTTTCTGCGCATATCGCACATGTTCCTTTGTAGGGGAAATGTTTTTGATTTGAGAATTTGGCTATTTTCCTCGTGTCTATGATTGATCTCCGGATTCGTTCGACGCGAAAACGCAGGATGTGCTCCTGCCCGCACCTGAAAGACTTTAAAAAGGCCGATGGCTTGAAAGTCTTTCGCAAAGTTCACGCACATTTCGTCTGCTGCGGTTCGCGTGAAGCAAGGAAGCGAAAGGTACACACGCTGTAAATTTCAGCGATGGAGGTTTACCGGCCCGAAAATTCGTCATTCTGATTTTATGTTCATGTTCTTAATTTTTCCCGACTCAGGCCAGCTTGTGCCATTGTCACGAATGTGGAACGTACTCCAGCCGTCTTCACTCGTGCCTTTTGTGCGTCTATTTTGGTTGCTATACCGGAAACCGGCACATTCACCATCACGCACAATCAACTGGGCACTCTCTAGGTACGAAACTTGGAAAGTCTTGTTTAAATATTTCGGTGCTGTATGCCATCGGCTGTTGCATTCACATTTCTGTTGTTTTCCTCTGCTGTTTTAGCTCTGGACCTGACGCATGGCGTAGTTTACTGCTTCGTGTGCAAAGACAATGTTTACGATTTCGATTTGGAGAAAGTTGGTGTCGAGCAAGCCGTTAGAGCTTGGAAGACTTTAGGTAAGTAAAAACGCCAATCGCCTCAGGACAAATGCCTTTTATCGTATACGTGGCAAGGCTTGTAGAGTTTAAAAGCCGGGTGATTAAAATACTTCAAGATGTGCAAAGAAATGATTATTGTATTTAGTGGAGTCAGGGATAATGTACATGCAACGACAAGATAATTGTACATTTCGACACATCCCGTCTTTTAGTTGCTTTTTTTTGCATGTTGCGTCGTAACTTGCGCTAGTTTTGGTTATCTTGAGTAGTGATTCAACATTTCGATTTATCCTGCTAACAATCACAATCAAGCGAGCTAGAAAAATGATTGGAGTTCGCAAAGTTTATGCGTCCACTTGTTATGGAATCGTTGCTTTGTCTTGTTGTTCATCTCGAATTATCCATCATTCAAAGAAATATTCAAGGTCCTATATTTTCAATATGTTTTAATTATGACCAAACATCATAATCAAACAGCAATTATCTTAAACAGGGTCAGAACGTGCAACTTTGAGTCGCACTGTAAAAACAAATTTCCTTACCGACTGGGCAGAACCTGCGAATTCCTTTGGAATTCGCCGAGCTGATTTTGAAAACTATTCATATACAAATGTTAATGAATTAGATGCCATTTGAGCTACACTTCAGATGCATTTTATGCGATCACGAAAAGTTTCAACACGTTTGAAATTGTTCTTGTCCCACAGAAATAAACCTGTTTAACCAAACTGGAGCACTTTGTTTACACTGAGTCAACCTTGACCTTGGTATTGTCTATGAAAAGAACTTCACGTAGATCTGTTTCTACAGGTCTAGCATGCATCACTTATTTCTCAGTGTCAATGCAAAGGTGTTGCCAATGGCCCATGACAATGTCATGCTGTCCTGCCTTAATTCCAAATAAGAATAACTGATGTTTTTACACCTTTCTTCTCTCCTACTTTTAACGAGAAAGGTTCTGGATAAATCAAATATCTGAGCTTGTGACTTTTAGCAAGGTCCAGACCCCTTCTCTTGATATGTCACCCCATTTTCGGAGCAGAAAAATGTAACAAGCAAGCGTGAGTTTTGGCTGCGTACAACGCTCCAAGTTGAAAAAAATGGCAGGAATTTTGTCAATCATGTAAACAAAAAAAAAGTTATGAACCTTATATGCCTTCCCAATTTTCCTGGTAAGTAATAGCAATTTCTCGTCACTAATGGAAGCTGGTGTAAAGTTTTTTCAAGGGGGAATCTTTTTTTTTTTCGGACAAAATTAACATAAAGAAAGGTATGTGAACCCTTCATTTCCCTGTGTTATACACGAAATTTTGTCGTGAAGACACATTTTTGTCTGCAAACCCTCTTTACGTATTGCATCCAAATAAACACACCACTTAATATATTAGCAAGAGAGCCTCACAACAGACAGGTTGAGCCTTGTTTGCTTATCAGTGAAATGTCAAAAAAAATTCATGCCCACCTAAGTGCAAAAAAATTGACCAAGCAACACCTTAACATTCTGTATTGCATTCTGCCGTTCTCTCCACCATAATGGTTCACATTATTGCCTGAGCTATAGGGATGTGTGGAAAGCTGCACAGTACATCTTTCCGCTCTGAACAATCCATGTAGTAAAAGCCATGCTGCTTGTTGTTAACCTATTTTGAGAGTATTTTTCCCTTTGAAAGTTCCTAAGAATTATTGTCAATGATGTGCTTGGATTTTACACACAGGAAATGGTCGCATAAAGTATGTTCCCTGGGAACCAAGTAAAGCTGAACTCCAACTTCTTAGAGAAAATAAGAAAAGGATCAAGTTAGAAACAAATTCCTTTATAGGTTTGTAAAAATTGTGCTAGCCTTGAAATTTATATGGTTTATATTGTTCTTGAGGCTGGTTAGGTTAATTTTGAGACTTCAAACTTAAGTCTCCTCCAAGGGTAGGGCTGCCATAAGGGCCGTAACCAGTAACACCAATTACGGGTGAGTATGTTTGATGTGCCCTTGATGTTACGGATTAACTGGACTATAGTTGATACAATTCACTCAAAAGGTAACAAGTTAGTTACAGGTGTGAAGATCGAGGCCACAGCTGACTCAAAACCTAACGACAGCCCTGGATGGGGGTTTGAATATTTTCTGGAACACACAATGAACTGTATTTTAGTGAGCCTTAGCCATAGACTGACAGTGCTGAAAAAAGAAACGAGTCCAAGGCTGATCATGAAATATGTGGTGGCTAATAGTTGGCACATTGAGCTTCAATTTGATAAGGTAATCTGGGTTCAAGTATTGGTAAGGGTGATCACTTTGTTGAGTACTTGAAAGATTATTGTGGACTCAGCTTAACTCTCAGCAAAAGGATCTTGGCCAAGCTCAAACCCACGCTCCTCACTAAGACTTCAGAGTTCAACTCACTACAGGATCTTGTATTACAGGTGATCAATATTTGTAACCTCAAGCAATATGCCTTTTATTGCAGGTCTTAGAGGTCTGACCAACCTTGGAAATACGTGTTTTATGAACTGTATAATCCAGGCATTGACCCACACTCCATTACTCAGAGACTATTTTTTGTCTGATCAACATGTCTGTTCTGGAGACAAAGATCAATGTATTGTTTGTGAAGTTGGTTCAGTCTTCCAAGAGGTACATGTAGTAATAATTATGATCCTGCAGGCATATAATCCAACAAATACTTTTTCTCACTTGCAACTGATCTAAGCATGTCACTTGATGTTAGTAGCAAAAACTGGAGAATATCCAAAGATACTGTGGCCCCCAAGTGAAATTTCCCATGGCAATTATACGCAAATTTACATAAATTTGCACATTTTATTTTTGTCCTACCTGACTTGTTAAATTAAGTTAAATTAATTAAGATTATAAAAGATCTGAATACTGTAGTTTCACAAGAGAATAAAGACAAAATGCAGACACAAGAAAAAGTTCTATGCAGCCAATTAGAAACCGAATCGCTCCACCTGCCCTCTATGAGTCAGTTTACATTTTGTTTGAACCAGTGCTAAGGGCACCGTCTGATAATCACTTCAAGCGTGAAACTCAAGTAACTGTAGTTTCTATCTTAATTCGTATAGTGCAGATAAAGATGTGACTAAAACATTAATGTACACCTTATGATTAAGAACATTTGAAGATGCTACAAGGAAGTGAAAGCCTGTAGCAGCACTTTGATGATGAAATGAACCTTTGATTTTTTTTGCTACATTTTCAGTTCTACTCAGGGCAAAAGGTGCCACACACTCCTTTCAAACTCTTGCATCTTGTTTGGACGCACGCACGCCATTTAGCAGGTTATGAGCAACAGGATGCACATGAGTTCTTTATTGCTGCTCTTGATGTACTTCATCGGTATTGCAAAGGTATGTCATCACATGCAGTCATGGGGGTACTCCCATATGAAAAGGTTGGGGAAGCTCGTCCTCTCACTTAGGGGTATAAATTAAGGATTCTGGGGCCCATTTCTCAAAAGCCCTGGAAACTTTTCGGGCCCGCAAAACCATTTTTAGTTAATCTGTATCTAAAAACAGAGAGGTGTACAGTATACACCTGAAATTTCTTGTACGAAGAGAACCTCTGTTCATGTTAAGAATATGTGAATTAAACAGCTCTGTAATGGTAAGGTTTGAGATTTTGCTTTGGCTTTCCTGGTGCAAAAACTTTTCGGGACCTTCGAGAAACAGGCCCCTGGTCTCCCTTAGAGTGTTCATGATGAAACAGCTTGATTTCTCTTGAGTCCAGTCTACTAGTACAGGCTCCTTTCCTGAACAGCAGCTGGTCATCAAGCCTATTCCATTTTAAGTGGTATCTTTTAGGGATCAAATAAAGCCCTAGCCACGCCAAGATTGGTGTCCTTTAGGGGTTTAATTCAAATTTAATTGCAAACTCAAGCTACCAAATTGAATGCATTAGCCTAAAACCGTAGTCCTATCCATAATTTGTCTTTTAATCTGTTTAATTCCTACCCCCTTCAAAGAATGATGGCCTAGATATTCTACTGCAACCTTATTATTATACTTTCAAATAATTCCTAAGAACGGGCTTAGATAAAAGAATGTCTAGTGCATTTTTGAAACTTGAAGGCATATTTTTGAAAGCAAAGGCTTAGGGCTAACATGTTTTAGTTGAAGAATGAAATGTTCAAGACTGAAATGTTTGAAAACTGAAAATGAAAACAAAAAACAAAACAAAAGCAGAATCTTTTAACTTCAAACGCTCAATATACTAGTGCCACTGTTATGTTCTCAAAAATATAATTGAAGAAAAATTAGTAAAAAATAAGATTTCTACTAAACAGGTAATTAAGGGTGCATTTCCTTTTTGGAAAATCCAAGATGAGGTTCTAAAGTTCAAAAATGGATTTCCCATTTCTGTACTTAACAGATCAATCCAAGATCACTCAGATGATGGGGCATCAAAGGAACTGAAGAATTCACTCTGGGCAAGGATTCTTTGGGTCCTTTGATACACCATGTTCTAAGTGGTTATGGATTTATCTGTTTAGTGAAGAAATGCAAAATCTCTCTTCGGATTTAGGACTCCAATCTTGAATTTTCCCAAAGTTGCATGAATAGCTAAATATGGTTTCTTTCAGATGATGCACCAAACAAGGACATGTTGGCTCCTAATAACCCCAACAGATGTAACTGTATAATAGATAGAATATTTACTGGTGGGCTTCAGTCAGATGTTACGTGCCAAGCATGCAAGTAAGTTGTGTGATTTGATGGCTACTCCCAGCATTAAACTTGCTGGTACCCATTCAAGATACACCAGGGTGGAGAAGGGCACTGTGAAAGTAAAGTGTCTCGCTCAAGAAGACAACATAGTGCATTACCCCAAGGTATATGTCTAGTCTCCTTTGCAGCCGCCATCTTGGGTCATCACGCATTGCTCCCTCCCCAGCATCAGCTGTATACACCCGCAGCATTTGCACATTTTAGCCAATAACTAAAAGCAAAAAAAGGATCTGACTCCAGACAATTGCTGCTGCAAAGGACACTGAGCTTGAACCAAGACCACTTTATTCAGTGTCCAGTGCACTGTCATTGATAAAGAAAGCTCTTTGAAAGGCAAGCTTCTTGGGTCACGTAACCAGCGTCTCTAAATTTCATGCAATATAAGATATTGATCTGTAATGAATATGCCCTACATATTAGCTGTATACTTTCTTCATAACTTACTGATACCTCCTCCTATTTCTGTGGGAAGGAGTTTTAAAGTACAAGTATGAGAGTCTAAATACGATTATCATACTCAGTGCATAAACACACAGAGAAAAACCTAGGCCAATATCCAGTCATCTAGTCATCTTGGTCAATAACCCTTACATCATACCACTGTATGACACAAATATGAGATCCAAATTGCCCAGCCCTAACGTTTGTGGAATGACTGTCTTAAAGGTAAACTTTATTAAGCCAGGGTGGCCCATTCAGTGACGAGGCTGATTTCATTCTTGGTCAATAACCCTTACATCATACCACTGTCATACATCTTAGAGTTAGAGCAATCAATATTCTTGTAACATTGTATTAATCATTTACTATTCTCCTTACAAATGTTCATTGTCCTCCTAAAGATGTGTTTCTACCACCATTGATCCCTTCTGGGACATCTCTTTGGACCTGGGAAATGTTGATCACAGCAATGGCAATGGTAGAAGTAGTTCTGGAGCATCAGCTGCATCAACCCCTGATCCCACACCACCAGGTAACACATTAAACATTGGTCATTACAATATTGGGGAGGAGGAACATTTTTCTTTAAAATTAATGGTCTTGTTTTGTTTAGTCCCTTACCTAATCTTCAAGCTATTTTAGGTCAGACTGCATGCAAGCTGGTCTGAAATGGGTTTGGTCACACTATTTTGTTAATTGAAGCAATGTTAATTTCATAGATTGCATATGATTTTCAGGTCCTTGAGAAAAAATATCAAAGAACCATTGATCAATAATAAACCCAAAAAATGAGGATGATTAAGGTTTAAAGATTGAGAGAGACAAATAATGGACAAATTTTCAATAGGCTTAGTTTTTCGAGAGGTCATCCAGGGAGATGATTTCACATGAACTCCAGACTGTTGGCTTGACTTAGCTGATTTGTTTCTCAACTCTTTGCAGAAGAAAATGGTCAGCCAGTACCGGAAAGCAGCCATCATGATGAAAGCTTTGTTCCCAAATCACTTGTAGAGTGTTTGAGAAGGTAATGCTATGGATTTAGATCACAAGATGTAGATCATGTGATGTATATCATTTAAGTTACAGTTTTTGTTATGCTAAGAACTCTAAGGATACTCCAGTAGCCTTATGGTTACTGTACAGGACTCTGGACTAGGATGTTGAAGTTTGATCCTGGCCTAGCCTGGTGTATCTTTTCCCCTTGAGTGAGATGCTTTGCTCTCACAGTGCCTCTCTGCACCCAGGATTATAAAATACAGTCTTCCTAGGAAAAGTGACACAACGACAGTCCAATTTGCTGGGGAGTTGTGGAAATATGTGATGGATTAACATCCAGCTTAGAGAGACTAACAATGAGTACTCATGATGCAGAATGTGAACCCAATGATCCATTCTGACCATTCCTCCAATCAAGGTTGGCAATTTGCTTTTTCTTTTCTTTTCAGATTTACAAGGCCAGAAAGACTTGGAAGTGAAGCCAAGATAAAGTGTAGTCAGTGTCAAACATATCAGGTTAGTGTCAGAGTTTCCTGGAGGTTCTCATCTCTGTGGTGTACAGTGAAGCATCAGTTGACTTATTGGGAAGGTTTTTTGTGTGCATTAATCCTTGGTGGATTCTTTTCAAGATGGCACAAACAATACAAACTTGAAAGTGTATTGAGTAAATGAAAATTATTTGATAAGCATGTTCCATGACATGTCTCTGTGGTAACGAGCTGGCGTGGCAATTTTTTAAAATTTTAATACTGAATTTCCTTCTTGCTAGACAGTTAAGTGTTTATAGGATGTGGTATATAATGACACTTGTCTAACTCCCCCGACTGAAGTAGCTTATGCTTAACTGTTCACCTGTAGAGAGAGCGGTACTGTAATGATCTACTACTTTGCCTGTGTTATTCATTTCTTTGTGGTTCCCATAGTAACACAACATCTTTATACCAAATGAGTGTTGCGAATTTGGGATTGTGGTTTGTTGTTATACTTTTATATTCTACTTTTTGTTCCACACAGGAATCTACCAAGCGGTTAACAATGAAGAAGTTACCTATTGTAGTTTGTTTTCATTTCAAGGTAATTGTAGACAATTTGGGATGTGATAACTTCTACAATGTAAAAAGTCATTTTACCCCATAATAGAAAAGTACCAGTAGTCATTAGTTGTTTTAAACATACTGATACACACATTAGAATTAAGACTCCTGGGAGGTTGTGGGCTTGATTGTTGGCAAAGGTTGTTCTTTACTTGCTCAGTGCCTTTCTCTACCCAGCTGTAAAAGAGGGAACCACCAAATGGCTAGGGCAGCCCATTCGAATGCCAGGATGGGTGGGGCAGGGTTAACCGACATGAGACTCACATTCCATTCAGGGGATCTGTAGAAAAGCTCTGAGCCACTTCATTTCAGGGAACCAATTAAGGTATGCTTCTTACAGTGTTGGCCAGTCTAGGCTACTTGTAAGTGCAAACATCTTTATTTAAAATGAGGAAAAGTAGACTGCTTTTTAAATTTTAGTTTGCCTTGCTCCTCTAATCATCCAGAACTACAATATGAAAGTAATATCTTGTGTCGACCAACAGATACACATATGTCTGTATATAGGGGGTGGTAACCAGATTGTTCTGGTTTGTTTATTACTTAGCTGTTAAATTTGAAATTTATTTCTTATTTTGTTTGGTTGTATTTCAGCGTTTTGAACATTCAAAGAAATCCAAGAAAATATCAACGTACATTCCTTTTCCTCAGCAATTAGACATGGCTCCATTTATGGCTTCAAGGTACTGAATTCGGTCTTATCACGTGAAGTTGCTGTGAGAAGATTTATTTTGCCTTTCAAGAAAGCAAATGAATGAGGAAAACTTCATTAGGTTTCTCAGTGTTATTGATGCAGACTTTTCCTATGACACTGATTTGAACTTAGATGTAGAGCTCTTTTCATTGATACATGTAACTTTACTTTACTAATTGAAATCGTGGGAAAGGTTTGTCTCAGGCACACTGAAAGATCTCAGACCAGTTATGTTGTTGATTGATATTAATTTATGAGGGACAGACAGACAGGCAGACAGACAGACAGACAGAAAGACAGGTAGACAGACAGACAGACAGACAGACAGAAAAAACGAAAGCCAGGCAGGCAGACAGGCAGACAGACACGAAAACGGTCAGACAGACAGTCTGATTGCTTGATTTATGAACGTCTGATTAAATAATTTTTCATTCAGGGGAAGGAAGGCTTGTCTCAGGCACACTGAAAGATCTGAGACCAGTTATGCTATTGGTTGATATTAATTTATGAGGGACAGGCAGACAGACAGACATACAGAGAGATAGGTAGACAGACAGACAGACAGACAGAAAGACAGACAAGTAGGCAGACAGACAGAGAGACAAAAGACAGCCAGGCAGACGGACAGAAAAATAGACAACCAGGCAGACAGACACGGAGACAGTCAGACAGACAGTCTGACTGATGGATTTATGGACGTCTGATTAAATAATTTTTCATTCTTCTTAGATTGAATGGTAATAGTGATCACGGTCAGTCCACGCTGTCTTGTGACTCAAAGTAAGCGTTTTTGTATTTAACATTTATCACAGTTAAATACAAGTCACTCTGGAAGGCTTTTTAAAAGTTAAATTACTGTTCGCCGATAAGTTACGTGCGCGATTGCTTGAAGGAAGATATCCAAAACTTGTTAAAAATAAATAAGCTAGTGACTATTCTTTGGTTCAACACGCCACGCTAGCTAGTGGCGAAGAACATAACAGTGCTAGACAAGAAACGGACGCTGTCAATGGTACATGTCAATCCAGAACGTTTCTCCCAAGATACCGAAACTATTGCTATACCTGAAATGTTTTGCGTGACAGTGTGTCCAAGTCTATTACTTTTTAATTTCTTTCAAAACACTTGTTCAAATGCACTTGGCTGTGAAGTCATCGTTGAAGAATTTTCAATATTTCCGTCGTTAACCATGTTTTGTTTCGTGCATGTTGTTCAGGTATACGTTATTCGCCGTTGTGAATCACAGTGGTACTTTAGAAGTCGGCCATTACACGTCCTTCATTCGTCAACAGCAGCAGGTGCGTAACTGAACTGGGCAGTGTTTTATTTCATCTTTGTTTTACCATTTGAGTGCGAGATATTGACGAGACTATCATCTAATAAGTACTGGATAGTGCTAGTACATGTTTTTGACTGAGAATAGACCTTTCCCGCATTCCAACAAACAATGGCACCGAGTCAAGGTCAGGATGGACAAAAATACAGCAAATGTATGAAAATGTCCACCCCAACCTCGCTGCGGTACTATTGTTCGTACGCACTGAAGTGGAATACGGGAAAGGTCTATTAGAATCGGAAAGTCTTCGGGTAGATTTTGTACGGCTTTCTGATTGGCTACTCACTAGCTGAGCGCGAGCGTGGCGTATTTCTTTCTGGCTACGCGAGTTTCGAATTATACAGAATTATTTCCGCCATTTCTGCCAATTATTTTTGTTAATAATATTGTTTCACGCGTTCTGTTCGTCAGTGGTTTAAATGCGATGACGCGTGGATTACTAAAGCAACACTGGACGATGTTCTTCAAAGTGAAGGGTAATTGTAATTCTACTATTTTTGTTGTTATATTTTGTTTTGAGGACCATACAGTACTCTGAATACTGTGTGAAATGCCGTCAAACATCGTTTCGAAAAAACGATAAATTTGTTGTTAAGTTCCCATAGGGAGGGGACCGCCGGGATACATGGTGCAAAGGGGAACTACAATGCATCTACATAATAGGCTATTTCCGAGTTACCTTGTGCCTCTGTTTCAAAAGGAGTCTCCGTGCAAAACCTTTCATATGAAAATGAATTTGATTTGCATGAAAATGAATCTGTAGGAGAAACACATTTTCATATGAATGGTTTCATACGAAGTCTCGTTTTGACACTAAGGCACAAGTATCTCGGAAATGGCCCATTGTCGTATACCCGCGCGGCAAATATTTAAGTGATACTAGTCAGAGAGAATATGAAGGGTAAGCGAGTTAATCCTCCATATAGACCTTACTGTACCAAGGTAATCCTCCTCAAGTTATTTTTAGGCATGGTACCCAGTTCTTCCGCGGATAATGTTACCACGCGTGTGGCGTGAATGTTCTCGTGAAGGATGAAAAGGCGCGTAAAGCGTCTTGGGCTGTCCACGTGAGCGAAATCCTCGTCACAGGATTGGCCGTCTCTACGCACTCCTGGGATTTCTGAAGTCGGTGTGATGATCTAAAAATAACTCAGGGATTACCTTAGGAATGATGCCTAGATGGGAAATTACCTCTCTTCCCTTCATCCTCTCTCGTATTTGCATACTTTTAAATATTTATTTTCTTCTGCCTATTTTAATTTCAGATATCTACTTTTCTACCACAAGAAAGTCCTTGAATACGAATAACTTCGGGCAAAGCCTGTTTCATGGTCGAGTGAAACAGTGTGATTAATAAGTTGTTCTAAAGAGGGATCAACCAAATATAATTAGATAAATATGACTTAATTTATGTTTAAAAAAGGTCTAAATAGCCCACACCCCTCAAGCGAATTCTAGAATTCGCGTTTCTATATTTAGTGAGTTGTACACTTACCGGATCTTACAAGCGAGTCAAAAGCAAGTCAGGCGCCGTTCGAAGGGCGAGGGAAATGAAGTTGATCTAAGAGCTGTACAACTTGGTATACAATGTAAAATGTTGCTCGATAAGAAGAGGGGGTTAAATATGTGAGCCCTCATTTTCTACTTGTCTAGTCGATAAGAATAAGTCAATTATGCCCGGTCTCCTTGCCTTAGGAATAGAGACGTTTAATTTCAAGTACGAGAACATGTATGAGATTTGACCGCAAATTTCCTTTAATTTTCTTTTACCATTAAGAACATTTTCGAGATACTCGTGGTCCAAATAAGGACAGTCACGTGATTTTTTCCGCCAAAATGACAAACGCTCTCACGTGTGCTCTGTTTTACTATTGGTTAATCTCGCCCTCGGGATGGAATATAAAGCTCTCTATTACCTCGCTGCAGTCAAGACCGTAGGCATACAAAATTCCTTTTTCTATAAATTTTGAATAAACGTACTAAGCAAACCTCGCAAAATACAAGTCGATAATAATTTAACAGGAAGGATATGCGTTCTTCAGTTGAAGAAGCTTAATTTGTCACTCGTTTTTGAAAGTGAAAAATAATTTTATACCTTAACTACTAAAGAAACGTTCTTTTGTTTGCTTAGTTCACTAGCATCTTTTACAGTGGTCCGTCAGATGGTACCTTTTGGACTCTCTGGTTGTTTTCAAGTTCTCAACCCCGCGCTAATTTTTTTTCAAGTTAGTTTTGTAACTTAATTTCGTACACAAATACAAAGCTGTTGTTAATAATAAATCCCAGATTTATAAAACTATTTGCTATATAAATATATGGGAATGTATTTATTTGAAATGTTTTTCGCTGTTAAACAAAATTTTTCGGTACTCTCCGATTATTAAATAAACTGTTCACTCGGTAACGTCTGTTGTTCTGTGACGTTTCTTTTCGTTTGTTTGTTTGTAAAACTTTACTTTATAAATCATGGGGTGTTACAGTCTTGATTGTAACTCGTAACGGCGTTACATGATACCTGAATTACGCCAGCAAAGGAGACGAGAGGTTTTATAGAAACAGATCAACTATCTCTAGACTAGCTTGTAACTTGAAGTGCAAGCTCAACTGTTGGTCGAGCGCTGGACAGTTTAGTTATCTTTGAACAGCACAAAACGGAGACTGAGTGTATTCATAAAGTCTCTAGGGAAGTTATGACAGAGCTCGAACCAGATCTAAATTGCAACTCCCTCGCCCAGACTTCCTGCTCCGTGCAGAGTGAGATATGTATATGCGTGTTCACTCGTGATATACTTCCCTA